TTGATCAACACATTAAAATGGTAATATTTTTCCATTCAAGAATGGCCATATCTTACTTGACTATAAAATGCTAAGAGTTTTTTTTTTAGTTATAATGCAGAATATTATTTGGGGTTTATTGTTAAGGTAAACTTGTTTTGTGTACTTCAGAAGTGTGAGTATGTAATCTGTTCAGTTGTCAGGTGGTTTTATGCTTGAGGGGCATATTGAGGATTTCTTTTTTTATTAAAGGCCAATTCTTCCTTATTCCTGAGGGGGTACTGTGGGGAAGGATGGAAGAGGGATGCAAAATATGACTAATTAGTAGACCAGTTGGATAGATTTTTAAATTGTGAGGTATTTTTCTTTACTGATATAAAACTTGGTACCGGTACTTTACAAAGGCATTTAATTTTTTGTTTTCATATAAGAATCTCAAGGAAATTGATTGAGAGACCATGCAGTAAGCTTGGATACGTAAGAAATATTTTAAAATGTCACCCCATATTAGTATTCTCTGCTGAACCTGAGGAATAAATACTGTTTTTGTGATATGTGGCTTTTGTGTGTTTATGAACTGTTTAGGGAAGCTTTTCTGCAGAAATGGCTGAATGTAAGTTGCAGAGATGTAAGCCCTTCCTTATATCAATGTTCCACCTCATTAACTTCATTGTTAGGGCTTTTACACTTCAATGATTTAAATAAAATGATCTAAATGTAGTCCTGTTGTCTTCTCTTTCCATCTGTCTCCTTTTTGAAATCTGTATGGTTACGTATTTAGTGTTGTGTTTTCATTTAGACTCTATTGTTAATTCTGTTAAGTGCAAGATGATGATGAAGGGAAGGTATTGTATAACTAAATGTCTAATACTGTTGAAGCCCTGACAGATAAGGAAATATGTTTATAAAGATAAGCTGGTCACTTCTTCACCCAGTGTTCTATCAGAGACCAGACCAAATGGTCTTCAGAGACCAGGAACTTTGTAACTGTACGACTCCATTTTATTGTGGAGTTCAGATTGATGGTTGCAGCTGACCCTTGGACAACACAGGGTGCTGACCCGTATGCAGTTAAAAATCCATGTAGAACTTTTGACTCCCCCCAAACTTAACTACTAATAGCCCACTGTTGACCGGAAACCTTACTGATAACATAAACAGTTGATTAATACATTTTTTATGTTATATGTATTATATACTCTTACATTAAAGTAAGCTAGAGAAAAACGTTTTGAGAAAATCATAAGGAAGATGCTGCCGCCGCTCAGGGGAGTCGTCTGCCTGGGCAGGATGGCTGCTGCTGTGCGGGGGATGGGTCAGCACTGGGATCCCCCTGGCTGCTGTCTCGGTTCTCTCCCTGGGGCCTCCTTCCCTCGTCTCCCCTCAGGCATCTCTGGCCCACTCTGCCCCTGCCTGTGCCGGAGACCAGGATCTGTGCCTCACAACAGCCCAGAGCCCGAACATAAGCAAAAACACATTTGGAAGCTCCTGCAGAGACCTGTATCCAGATCAGCAGATCCTGCAATTTGCTGCTTCCTCCTCTCGCCTCTCCAGATGCTGGCTTATGTTCTGGCGTCTTCAAGTGGTCGCTGTGATAAAGCTGGTCAGTAGCGCTGTGACAGTCTGATTTGCTGGAAAACAAAGTCATCAGGACTACTTGTTCAGAATCTCCACTTAGGAGTCCAGTGGTATCTTAAGTATGATGCCATGCTAAGCACTTAAGGAGTTCAGGGTCTGGTAGGATGTCAGTTCATTCTCCTGCTCAAGACAAATCATTCCAAAATAGCCTCTTCAACAAATGGTGTTGAGAGAGCTGGACAGCTACATGCAAAAAAATGAAACTCGACCACCAACTTACACCATACACAAAAACTCAGGATCAATAAGAGACTTAAATATAAGTCATGATACCATAAAAGCCCTAGACGAGAACATAGGCAGGAAACACTCATATATTCCATGCAGCAGTATTTTCACCCATATGTCCCCTAGGGCAAGGGACATAAAGGAAAGAATAAACAGATGGGACTTCATCAAAATAAGCTGCTGCATGGCTCAAGAAAACATCAAGAAAATGAAAAGGGAACCAATTGTATAAGAAAATGTATTTGCCAGTGATACCTTGGACAGGGGTTTGATCTCCAAAATATATAAAGAACTCATACAACTCCACTCCAGGAAGACAAACAATCCAATTAAAAAATGGGCAAAGGAACAGACACGTCTCCAAGAGGGGCATATGCAGGGCCCAGAGACATATGAAGGGATGCTCAGCATCACTAGCCATCAGAGAAATGCAAATTAAAACCACAATGAGATACCACTTCACACCGGTCAGAATGGCCATCGTAAACAAATCAACAAACAGGTGCTGGTGAGGCTGTGGAGAAAAGGGAACCCTAGTGCACTGTTGGTGGGAATGCAGACTGGTGCAGCCACTGTGGAAAACAGTTTGGAATTTCCTTAAAAAACTCAAAATGGAACTGCCTTTTGACCTGGCAGTTCCACTGCTGGGATTATACCCTAAGAATCCCGAAACACCAATTCAAAAGAACCTGTGCATCCCAATATTCATAGCAGCACAATTGACAATAGCCAAATGCTGGAAGCAACCTAAGTGCCCGTCAATAAGTGAGTGGATCAAAAAACTATGGTACATTTACACAGTGGAATACCACGAAGCAGAAAGAAAAAAAGAGCTATTACCCTCTGCACCAGCATGGATGGAACTGGAGAGCATTATGCTAAGCGAAATAAGCTGAGGATAAAAGACAAATACCATATGATCCTACCTATAAGTGGAACCTAATCAACAAAACAAACAAGTGAGAAAAATATAACCAGCAATATTGAAAGAAAAAACAAACCGGCAGTAACAATTGGGGAGGAGGGGAGGTAACAGGGAAAAGAATGGGAAGGGTCAAATCAGGGAACATGTATAAAGGACCCATGACAAAGCCAAAGTGGGGAAGGATTGAGGGTGGGAGGGGCCGGGGAAAGTGGTGGTGGGAAAATGGAGACAAATATATTTGAACAATAAAAAAGAAAAAAAAAGACAAATCATTCCAATTAAAAAAAATAAAATCATAAGGAAGAGAAAATATATTTGAAGTACTCTACATATTTATTGAAAAAAAATTTGGTGTAAGTGGACCCACACAGTTTAAATGTGTGTTGTTCAAGGGTCAACTGTTTATCTGAGCTTTCATATATATCTTCTGGTATTTATAGCTCTGGAACCACAAAAAAGGAAAGCTTTCCTTAAAAGCATCCTATATTTGTCCTTTAAAATGTTTCCTAAGCATTTTCAGGAAAAGTAGGGATTATGCAATGAATTTCCAAGCAAAGAGTCACCTTTGGAAATCTTTACAACTACTTGAAAATGATAGACATATTTAGGCAGTAAGTTTTTTTCTACCTGATTTACTGCCAGATGTGAGCACTCCTTAGCAGTATATATCCCAAATGCAAGTTTGATGTCTTCATTAAAAATGTGGAGAAAATGGAGCAATAATAGTCTCTTCAACAAATGGTGTTGGGAGAGCTGGACGGCTACATGCAAAAAATTGAAATTGGATCATCAGCTGACACCATACACAAAAATAAACTCAAGATGGATAAAAGACTTAAATATAAGTCATAACACCATAAAAGTCCTAGAGGAGAACATTGGCAGGAAACTCTCAGATATCCCACGCAGCAGTTTTTTCACTGATATGTCTCCTAAAGCAAGGGACATAAAGGAAAGAATAAACAAGTGGGACTTCATCAAAATAAGAAGCTTCTGCACGGCGAAAGAAAACATCAACAAAATTAAAAAGGAAATTTCCTATGGGAAAATATATTCGCTAATGACACATCAGATAGAGGTTTGATCTCCAAGATATATAAAGAACTCACTCAACTCCACTCCAAGATGAGAAACAATCCAATCAAAAAATGGGCAAAGGACCTGGGCAGACGCTTTTCCAAGGAGGAGATACAGAGGGCCCAGAGACATTTGAAAGGATGCTCAGCATCACTAGCCATCAGAGAAATGCAGATCAAAACCACCATGAGGTACCACCTCACACCGGTCAGAATGACCATCATAAACAGATCCACAAACAACAGGTGCTGGCGAGGCTGTGGACAAAAGGGAACCCTAGTACACTGTTGGTGGGAATGCAGACTGGTGCAGCCATTGTGGAAAGCAGTGTGGAATTTCCTCAGAAAGCTGAAAATGGAACTGCCTTTTGATCCAGTGATTCCCCTGCTCGGACTATACCCTAAGAATACCAAAACGCCAATACAAAAGAACCTGTGCACCCCAATCTTCATAGCAGCACAATTTACAATAGCCAAGTGTTGGAAGCAACCTAAATGCCCATCAGTAGATGATTGGATCAAAAAGTAATGGTACATATACACAATGGAATACTATGCAGCAGAAAGAAAAAAAGAACTACTACACTTCGCGACAGCATGGATGGAACTGGAGAGCATTATGCTAAGTGAAATAAGCCAGGGGGCAAAAGACAAATACCATATGATCTCACCTATAAGTGGAACCTAACCAACAATACACAGATGCGAGGAAAATAAGACCAGCAACCAACAGATACAAGAGGGAAGGGGGGGCGGGGAAAAGGAAGGGAAGGGGAAAATCAAGGAACATATAGCAAGGACTCATGGACAAAACCAAAGGGGAAGAGCTGAGGGAGGGAGGGAGGGAGAGAGGGAGGGGGCAAGGGAAAGTGGTAGGGGGTAGGCAGAGACAAATGTATTTGAAAAAATTAATTAATTAAAAATGTGGAGAAAAGTTAATTTAACTTGAGTTCAGGGGAATGAAGCGATCATATTGATAGACATTTTGCATTTTAAAACAGTCAATTACTAAGATATATTGTTAGATAATTTTATGATATTTTTGACTTTTAATCTATATTTGACTATTTAAATTGAGCAGTGAATTTCATTTTACCTAAGTTTAGGTATTGACATGAGATAATTCATTTCTAACCATTTCTTTTATCTTCCAGCTCACCAACGACTGGAACCAGCAACTCTGTCAGGGATTGTGGCATTTATCCTTAGTCTTTTATGTGGAGCTCTGAATTTAATTCGAGGCTTCCATGCCATAGAAAGTCTCCTGCAGGTACCGTACTAGTTTTGCAATTTCAGGTGACTGGTGTCTGTTGAATCTGCTTGTTATAGAATTGATTTGATTTGAGTATTAGTACAACCTACAATGTATGCTCAGATTTTATATTCTTTATACCTGCCTTAGTCTCCCCTTCCTCTAAAAATACTTAAAAAGAAATCCCACTAATTTCTAGTTGACTGTCTCAATTAACATATTTATTATCTACTCCAGAGGAAGCACTATTTATGGGTACTCTGGGGACATTAAGACATGTATTACGTAGTCTTTGCAGTCTCAGAGCTTAGAGTTGAATTTGGGAGGCAAAGAAGCCCACAAATAAAGCCAAGTGCCAAATATACAGAGCGCATCAGTTTAGCATATTTCAGAGTATACAGCTTTCCTTTCCCTGATTTTTTAAAAAAATATTTTATTTATTTATTTTTAGAGAGGGGAAGGGAGGAAGAGAAGGAGAAAAACATCAATGAGTGGTTGCCCTTCACACACCCCATACTGGGGACCTCACCTACAACCCAGACATGTGCCCTGACTGGGAATTGAACCCACAACCCTTTTATTCACAGGCTGCCACTCAGTCCACTGAGCCACACTAGCCAGGGCTCCTTTCCCTTATTAATACTCATTTTCTTTGAAGACTTTTCTGACACTGCCACATTGTAAATTAGTTCTCTTGTTTGGGGAGTGAGCATTAAATTAATAAAAATCCACTCAACCCAGTTTATATTGTTTTAAAATTGCTATTAGTTTGGGAAACACTTAGAGAGTACCAGTCTGAGTACCCTCTGAATGTTCTCAGCTCTTTGAAGCCAATAGCAGAGGATATCACAAGTTCCAGGAAGCTGAGCTGTCCCTTGAATGGGGGTGGCGGGGGTGGAAGGGAGCGTGACTTCCCAATTCCTCTTCCAGCGGTCCTGGACCTTCATATAAAGCCCCTTTTTCATTTTAGGCACAGGACTGCTGGATATTGTTTCTCGGTGTTCTTGCCCTTGTTCCCTAGCCAGGTCCAGGTCAGCTGTATTCCAGTAGGAATTCAGTTTGGAGCCAGTTAGCCAACCTGGCATAAAAGAAACAAAGGCAATTTGGAGACTGTGGACTGAAAAAGCTAATAAATAAGATACTCTTTTGCTTACAAAAAAGAAAAGAGGGAGGAAGGAAGGAAGGAAAGGAGGGAGGGAGGGAGGGAAAGAGAGAGAGAAAGAAAGGGAGAAAGGAAGAAAAGAGAAAAGAAGAAAAGGAAAGGAGAAAGGAAAGGAAAGGAAAAAGGAAAGGAAAGAAAACGATGTAGTGGAAAGAACAGCAGTGCAGTTTCGAGAAGAGCTGATGTATGTTTGTGGAAGGGAGAGAGAATGTTGGCTCCCGCTCAGCTACTGATTAACCCTGTGACTTTGAATGGCTCACCTTGCTTTCTAGTCCTCAGTTTCATTGCTCATCAGCTAAAGGGAAGGAGTGGATTTGATGATTGTTTCTTGAAACATGGGACACATTTAGCACTAGTTACACTACACTGTATTATGTCTATACTATAGATGACTTTCACCTCATGGCACACATAAACTAATTACTAAAATTCTGCAGCACACCAAAAAAACATGTTTTACCAACCTGAGAAAAACATAGGTATAATTTTGATTCATTCACAATGGATGGCTATCCTTGTGTTGGCTGTTGTCATTTTTAAATTTGACAGTCTAAGGGAAAAAGAGGTCAGTGCCCCACTAAATAGGTTTTGTATGTTTTAAGAATTCTTGCAGCACACTGGTTGAAAATTGCAGCTGTAGATGATAGAAGGATGAACATTTTTTAATTTTAAGAATTAATGTATTTAATGTATATTAATGTGTAGTATCTATGTTTGGTAGGGGATACTAGTTTCTATTAATGATAGAGAAGTAAAACCTTCCTTTTAAATTCCGTTAATTTTAATAAAACGTCAACTTTATGAAATTTATTATATAGACAATGGTGTGATTGATATTTGGAACTGGCAAAATTGTGAAGGTTAAAATGTTCTGGTTAAAAAAAATTATCTGGTTGGTTGAAATTAGCAAATTAATAAATAAGGGATTGAAAAAAGTCCTGGTTTGAAAAAAGCTTTCAGAAGAGCCACAGACTTCCCTGACTCAGAAGACAATGTTTAAATTGTGAAACCTGAGGCTTAGACCACATTAGTTTTAAGTTAAAAATCAGACAATGCTCTCTTACATCACAAAACATGTTAAAGGAAATAATTTCTTTTAGGCACTCAGCTTATTCATTTTCCTGGACTGCTTCTTTTCTTCTCCTTCTTCTGATTTACAACTTCAAAACTAAGGAAAGCTGTATATGAACTACAGCTTTTCATGCTTCTGAGCTGCTACACCTGACTAATGCATGCTTTGATTCTTAAAGTTCCATGTTCTCCCTCAGATCAGTAATGTCCTTGACTCATTACAACTGAATTTTAGGCTTCAAAAGAACAATACAGGCATACCTTATTTTATTGCATTGCACAGATGCTATTTACTAATTGAAGGCAAGACCCTCTATCCTCAAAAAAAAAAAATTACAAATGGTTTTATTGTGATACTTTGTTGCAGTGGTCTAGAGCAGAATAGCACAGTAAATATCTCCAAGGTATGCCTGTAATCTGATTAAACTAATTACCACCTGTATCTGACTGCTAGCTCTGAAATCTCTCAGACTATTTACATTTTAAAAAGGCATCACAGGCCAATATCTCATGAACATTGATGCAAAAATTCCCAACAAAATATTAGCAAATAAAACCCAATGATGTATAAAAAGAATTATGCACCATAACCAAGGGGGATTTATTCTAGGTATGCAAGGCTGATTCAACACTTGAAAATCAGTTAACATAATCCATCACATCAGTAGGCTAAAGAAAAATCATATGATCATATCAGTAGATGCAGAAAAAGCACTTGATGAAATCCAACACCCTCATGAACTCACAGGAAACTAGGAATAAAGGGGAACTTCCTCTACTTGATAAAGAACATCTGCAGAAATCCTGCAGCTAACATATTTGATGAGAAGCAAGATGCTTTCTCCCTAAGATTGGGCACAAGACAAGGATGTTACCTGTCACCATTCCTATTCAGTATTATACTGGAAGACCTAGCTAATGCAATTAGACAAGACAAGAGAGCAAGAGGTATAAATATTAGGAAGGAAGAAATGCAGCTGTCTTTATTGACAGATGGTATGATTGTCTATATAGAAAATCTCAAAGGATCAGTTCCTGGAACTCATAAGTGATTAGTAAGGTCACAGGATCAAAAGTTAATGTATAAAAGTCAATTGCTTTCCTATGTATCAGCAAGAAATGGTTGAAATTTGAAATTCAAATAATATCATTTATACTGGCACTCCCAAAATTGAGACACTTAAGAATAAACCTAATAAAATATATACAAGATCTATATGAGGAAAACTGTAAAACTCTGATAGAAGAAATCAAAGAAGCTGTAAATAAATGGAGAGATATTCTGTGTTCATGGATAGGAAGACTCAATATTGTCAAGATATTAGTTCTTCTCAAGTTGATCTATAGTCTCAACACAATCCCAATCAAAATCCCAGCACTTATTTTGTGGATATTGACAAAGTGATTCCAGAGTTGATTGGAACCCAAAATTGGCAGAAGACCCAAAATAGCCAATACAATACTGAAGAAAAAGAAGACATAATACCCAACTTAAAGACTTACTATTAAGCTATAATAATTAAGACAGTGTGGTATTAGAAAAACAATAGACAAATAGATCAATGGAATAGAGTACAGAGCCCAGAAATATACCCTCAAAAATATAGCCAACTGATCTTTGACAAAGAAGCAAAACAATTCAGTGGAGAAAGGATGTTCTTTTCAACAGATGGTGTTGGAGCAGCTGAGCATCCACATGCAAAAATGTGAATTTAAACACAGATCTTACAACTTTCACAAAAAGTGTTTAACTCAAAAGGGATCACTGACCTAAATGTAAAACATGAAACTATAAAAGTTACAATAAAAGATAATAGAAAAAACCTATGTAACCTTGAATTTGGTGATGAATTTTTAGATACCAAAAGCATGATTTATGAAAGAAAAACTGGTGAGTTAGATGTAATTGAAAAACTTCTGCTCTATGAAGGACATTAAGAAAATGAAAAGATAAGCCACAGACAGGAGGAAATATTTGGAGAACACACCTGACGAAGGTCTTGTATCCAAAATATACTAAGAGCTCTGAAACTGAAGGAAGCAAACAACCCAATTAAAAAAGAACTTGGCAAAAGGACTAAACAGATACCCCATGAAAGGATAGGAAAAGATGCTCACATCATACATGATTAAGGAATTGCAAATGAAAACATTAAGATATCATTAAACATCTATTAGAATGGAAAAATTAAAAAAAAAAAACCCTTGACAATGTCAAGCGCTGATGAGAATATAGAAAAATAGGACCTCTTCATTCATTGTTGATGGGAATGAAGAATGGTACAGTCACTTTGGAAGACAGTTGTGCTGTTTCTCACAAAGCTAAACATAACATTACCATAGGATCCAGCAGTCATGCCCCTCAGTATATTTACCCAAATGAGTAGAAAACTTACACACATAAAGCCTGCACATGAAAGTATATCTCAGCTTTACTCATAATTAAAAAAAAAAAACTGGAAGCAACTAAGAAATCTCAAGAATGGATAAACTGTGACAATGTGTGCAATGGAATATTATTATTCAGTTATGAAAATAAATAAGCCTATCAAGCCTCAAAAAAGCCATAGCTAAACCTTAAATTTATATTGCTTAATGAAAAAAGCCAGTCTCAGGAACTACGTACTATGTGTTCCAACTATATGACATTCTGGAAAACATAAAATTATAGGGACAGTGAATAAAAAGATTAGTGGTTGCCAGGGCTTTGGAAGGAGGGAGGATGGATGACTAGTTAGAACATGGGGTTTTTAGGGCAGTGAAACTATTCTGTGTGTTATGTAAT